GTGATAGATATGTGGCAGGTCATAGAGTGGGAGGTGAGGAGAGGAAAGGAAAGGAAAGGAAAGGAAAGGAAAGGAAAGGAAAGGAAAGGAAAGGAAAGGAAAGGAGCTTTGGTAGGCCATAAAAATTAAACCAATAGTGTGAGAATAAGTATGAGGTTTGTGGATGAACCTTGAAATTGTACCCTATACTAATTTCTCATAGAATATTATTGTAAAAGAAAAAAAAATGTTCATATTCATGTCTGAATAAGTAAATGTCGCAATATATTAATACGCCATCTCCATGCTACCTGAAGAACTGATGAGTGGAGATCACATTCAATATCAGAATGCTCAGTTTATCATTTTAGAATAGTGCCGTTTAAATTATATTGACCTATCCACAAATCTAACTTGGAAGAAAACAAGGCAATTCTGACCTATATCTAGGTTGTTTTTGTTGTACTTTGTAAAGTTATATCTGCCTGGTCAATGAAAATAATTAAATTTAGGAACTAAATTTAGGAAAATTTAGGATTTTCTTTCCACCGTAGTAGGAACATTTTCTCTAACTGAAGCATGAAAGTTTCCCATTATTCTTAAAATAGATGTTTCATAATGTTGCCTTCATTTCATCTGTAGCAAAATGTGGAAAGAGTTCAAAGCTGTATTTACAGTAGCTCTCCAGTGTTAAAGGAATGTTTCCCCTCCTCTCCTGATACAATTTTTGCCATGGACATGTTGTATCACAACTTCCTTGAATATATCATTTTAATTACATATTTTGGGATGAATCCAGAGAAGCTTTCACTAAATAAACTATAAAGCATAAAGAGCTTTCCAGACAAGCAGAGATGAGAATGGGGTATATATTCTTCATTTCTAATTTCAGTCCTATTGAATCCACTGGCTTTACTTGAAGGAGATATTTGCACCACTAGATTGCCCTGTTATGAGTATAGACCACCAACAGGTTCTGGAGGACAGGAACAGACAACATTTTCTGTTTACCTCCAGCCCACTGCTAATGTGATCTCCACCCATGTGTAGAAGGGAAGTAATCCTTTCAACATCATTATTTCTGACTGCAAGGCAGAGAACATTAATTTTGTGTTAAATTATATAATTTAAAAAGAATATAATAAAAGTGCACTGAGTGTTAAAATTTTTATTTCATCCAGATCACAATGTCTTGAGACATTAATAACACTTTCATTGCAAGTAATATAAAGTAATATTGGCTGCAAACATCTGGCAGTCCTAATATAATTGGAATTATTCAGAGATGGCAGCATTTACTCTACAATTTAGAATTAGAGTGTACCTCTAGTGATCATTTGAGTATTCAAGCTGGCTAAACAAGAAATACAAGGAAGTTAGCACAATAAAGTGTGGTATAATCTAAGTAGCCCTCTCAAAATCAATAGGACCTTAATCATGATTCATTATACTTGATTTGGATTCAGTTACAGCTATAGTTAGAATTATAGGGACAACCTAGCTAATTGCTAAGACAACAAATTTCTATTTATTATTAAGAAATGAGAAGAAAACATAATGTCAGTTTATACATTGCAGAGTACACCAATGTAAGCACATGCAAAGTATCTGTAGGTTTTCTTTCAGTTCAGGTCTGGTGGACATGAGGATGTCAAAACTAGGATTGGAGGGAGATGAGTATCTGTCCTTCCACTTTCCACAGGACAAACTACTTCAGCTCTTCTAATGAGTCTTCTAGAAGTGTTATCTCCATTTCCAATACCACGGCAGCAGCTTCTGTGGGACACAGTGAGGTGTTAAAAAATACAAGTGAAAGTGGCTTTGTGATGCAAAGTGGGGATTGCATCATGAATGTTTCCACCATCTCGCTTTTTTAACCTCTCTGTTGTGAACACTGTTGAATCAGAGTAATGATTTTGGCACCACCATGAAGATTTCCACACTGCAATACATACTATCAACTAACTGTCACTGTGTTTATGTACCACTAACACATACACAGGCTTTATATTGACCTAGTGATGGCATTCAAATGCTGTAAAACTTCATGTATGGAAATTTCACACTGATGCTCAGGCCAAAGCTGAGAGTGGTAAATGGAAACATTTGGAATCTTTGCCTTTCTTTCCAGAATAGATATATTTTTTTATTTCTATTGAAAAGCTATCCATTTCCACTGTGACAGTGATGTAGTATTCTTCTGGATGGGGGCAGAAATCCAATATTTGATGACATTGGGCCCATGCAGATCATACAACGTTATTGCTGGAAGTGGTACAAGGATAGCACAATGAAGTTTGGTGTTTTTTCTTCTTCTGGCAAATGGGGAATAAAGATAGGTCCCAATAATAAGCAACTCACACTACCCAAGTGCTTCACTGCTGAAGCAACAACCCACTTGCCCCCAAGAGGAGCCTAAAATGTAATATTCCATTAGTTGGGTTCTTGGTGTTTGCTGAGCTTCATTGTTGGCTAGTAGATGTTTCATTACCAGGCTATATAACATCATCAATGAATGAGAGAATGGAGTTTGCTGCCTGTTTATATATATCTTAAACTTCCAATATTGTTTGGGGTGTGGTTTTTCCTTAGTGGTTCCTTGGTTAGAGTCTTGTTTCTTCTCTGATTGTTTATAAGTGCATTTCCCACTTATTTGGGTATGGGCAGCTGGGGAGGATGGGCATTGGAGTGTTAGTTTCCTTCCTTGACTTTTGACTGTCTCTTTTTTAAATGGTATGTAGACGAGGCTTATCTCTATGTGTCTTCCAGTGTTGATTTCTTGAATGCCAAGCTTCCAGATATTCACAAGCATTTTAATATCAACAGTTTCCTATTGAAATTGCAGATGAATTTCTCTTGGTGTTGAGAGATTAATAGATTTTCATCAGTATACATTAGTTATACTACATTAATGTATTTTAATAAACTATATATTATGAAATTTTCCTAGATATTGGAGAAAGGATTTGTGTGAAATAGTAGGAGATATTTGGAAAAGGCAGGTGACTGCTCCCATTCACCCTATAAGGTAAAAAATATTGTCACAAAATGGTTAAGTTAGTTCCTTTATTTATAATACATTATTATAAAATAATCAGAGGGAAAACATGTCAGTAGTTTTTCTTTACATCAATTATTTTTATGATTTTTTATGGATGTTAACTTTTAAAATTTACAATTATGAACTGCTCTTTCCAAGAGCTTTCCAAAGGGCTCTCTGCATTTCCTTGTTTCGGAAGCTATAGATCAAGGGGTTGAGCAGTGGTGTAATTATGGCATATAGCACAGAAATAAGGTGGTCTTTTTCTATAGAATGAGTGGACAAAGGCTGTATATAGGTGTAGATGATGGTGCCATAAAAAATGCTCACCACAGTGAGATGTGATCCACAGGTGGAAAATGCCTTGATCCTACCATGAGCAGTGCAGATTTTGAGGACAGAGGAGACAATGAGAACATAGGAAAGGAGGGTCAGGCAGAATGGCAGAATGATAACACACCCTGAAATAGTGAAAGTCACCATCTGGCTGATGAAGATATCAGAACAAGATAAGCGTAGTAAAGGAGGAATGTCACAGAAAAAGTGGTTGATTTCATTGGAGTGGCAGAAATGTAGGGAAAAGACTATTGCTGTGTTAACAATGGAATTAAAGTGGCCAATACCCCAAGTGGTTGCTAACAAACGTCGACATACTGTTTGGTTGATCAGCAGAGTGTAGTGCAAAGGGTGACAGAGAGCTACATAACGATCATATGCCATGACTGAGAGAAGCACACATTCTGTGCTCCCTAAAGTAACAAAGAAATACATTTGTAGTGCACATCCTATGTAGGAGATGGTCTTGTCCCCTGACAAGAGATCCCACAGGATTTTGGGGAGAGTAGTGGAAATGTAGCAAATCTCTACAAAAGAGAGATTGCCAAGGAGGAAGTACATAGGAGTTTGGAGATGCTGATCTATCCTGATCAATGTAATAATGGTTAGATTTCCAGCTAAAGTTAACAAATAGACAAAAAGTCCTATGACAAAGAGAAGAGTCTGGTTGGTTGAGTCAACAGAGAAACCCACCAAAAGAAATTCTGTGACACTTGTCTGGCTCTGATTTTCTGCTGGCCTGATGTCCATCTTTAATCAGGTTATTGAAGCTTCTTGGGCTTGAAAGGTTCTCAGGTGTTTAATCAGCTGATGCTGGTATTTCCCAAAAGTGCAACTGGTAAAAAAGAGTCCATCGATCAATAGTGAATTTGTAAATCAGTGTAGTGTGTTTGCTTCCTGTTATCAAAGTCACTTCACTTACAGGCAGCATGCCTAGATCAGGATAAAAGTCAGTTGTAGTGAGTTGGTGGGCCACTGGTCAATTTCTACTAGAACATTGAAACTTCCTGCTTTTGGGGATTCTTGCCAAGAATGGTGGATTTTAAACTTATCAAGGAAGTGGTTACTTATGTTCTTGATCAACAGTGCACAGACACTTAACTGAAGCAAGTAGACCTTAGATAATGTTGTTATAAAGTAGGGGTTGGGAAAAACTATCAATTTCAGTTTCTTTCAGTTTCTAATTTTTGTGAATATTTCAAAATCATTGAAATAAAATTTAGTGTGTGATTTGCTGTACACTAAAATTTGAATGCTTTTAGTACCTACAGTATTTTTATTTAGTTATTTGTAATTTTACCCAATCTACAATTGTTGTAATTAATTAATTTATTTTCAATTGTTATAATTAATTTTCTTAATACAATTTTTGTACAACATTGTCATGAATACATGCATTTTGTACAGACTTTTTCTTAATGTATGTTTTATTGTTGGGAAACTGTGATGCAAAGTTCAGAGAACTAAGCATTTTCAGTGATAAACTTTGATTTATGTATTAATTTAAAATACTAATTTAAATGTTTCAATTCAAAAGAAGATTATGAATCCAGTTTCTATCTTTCAAAGAAATGAAGGTGTTGGAAATGGAAATAAACTAAAGAGAATGTGAAAATGCATAGTTTGGCCAAATGTATGACTGGTGTGCAGACCAGAAATATGGTTGCAGTATACCAATTAAAAGTTACCTTAGCAATCAAAAGTACAAGTAAAGTTAAAAAGTCCAAATACAAACACACTTGATGAAATGACTAATGTGGATTTATACATTAATTATAAGTTAATGCATTTAAAATGTATACATGAAATAATCAAATGTATAATGCCTAATGTTTTATTTATCTCTGACTGAAAATGAAAGACTGTCACCAGGTCAAAATCTCATCGAATTATGCTAAAATGTTTGTGGTACAAAAGAATAATCAAGTAAAAATAAAGAAAAACAAACAAACTATTGTATAACACAGAAAAACAGACTCCAAAATACACCCAAGAAATAGAGGGCAACATTCACAATTCAAAAGCTCTCCTAAATAATACTGTTTTCAGTAATGTTCAGAAAGCTAATAGAGGGGAAGATGATTGAATATCAAGAGCAGGTATAGCACAGAAAAGCAGTGCCTGTCAGATTCCATCATCCTTACTTCTTGAAAGTGAGGAACTGCTAACAGTTTCTTCTGGAACCTATGTGTCAGGAAGAGAGATATGGGATATTTAATATATAATTATATAAATATACACAATTTCCCTCTTCCGGTTTATTCTAGAAGGGCAATCTTCTAGAATACTTCCATCATGAGAATAGAAATGTTAGCAAGATCAAATTAGCTTTGATCAGATTAACAGGATCCTCCTATCCTTAGGACCCAGATCACCAGGCTTGTAAACCAAGGCTACTCTGAAAAGCACTATGCTGGTTTTGGGGATGACAAAATCCTGTGGAGGTGATTTGAGAAAGTCAGTGAGGTTTAATGTCTAGTGCATTGTTGTTCTGCTTCTAATAGAAGAGAATATGTGTAGCTCAGGGTTGAACTGTGGAGTCCTTGGGGTTCTCTGAGCTTGGTTGTTTTCTTGCAGACGTTTCAGTACCTGGCTAGGTAACATCTTCAGTGCTAGAACTGAAGATGTTACCTAGCTGGGTAATGAAACATTTGCAGGAAAACAACCAAGCTCAGAGAACCCCAAGGACTCCACTGTTCTGCTTCTGTCCCATCAAAAATTACGGTGGACTGGTAACTTTTTGAAGGAGCTCTGGAGACAGCACAAAGGACTTTGAAGAAGAGCAGGCTGTTAGACTTTCATTTGGGGAGGCCAGTGTCAAATCATTACCTCTCAGCCTAAGCTACCTTACAATATAGTCATGAAGATACAAGAGGTATGCAATTATTAGAGTTCCTTTGAAAAGCAATGGAAATGGGGTAGAACAAATTCAAGAAGAAATAATAATATGAGATTTAAAGCAAGGTTTCCAATAATGGCAATATGTATAATGATCACTATGCATCTTGAAAATTGGATCCAGACCCATAGAGGGCTACAGTGGGAACTGTCCCACTGACTCCCCATTGAAAGATAGATGCAGAAAAGTAACTGGATGCTACCATCCAGAACAAGACCCCCAATGTTTCTCTTAATAAAAGAGGTGCTTGCAGTGCAAAGGCACACATACCCACACATTATGGATTGGCTTGTGAAGATTCCAAAAACTGAAACTATTTTGCAGATCTAGCATTTTGAATTGATTTATTCTTAAACAAATAGCACTTTGCAACAGTGGAGAGTATATGTAACTCAGAGTTGAACTGTTGGGGTCTTGTGATCAAGTGATACTTGAAATCACTCTTCCTTGCCTTGGTGTGCCAACTCCTCTGATGCTGCTTCATTCACCAGAGTTTTGCTTCATGGTAGCCCCTATAAACAGAAGAAGCAAAAGACCACTGCAAAGTGATCAGCAGCTTTTTTCAAGTGCTGCTTAGCTGCACATAGATAATCTTTTCTGATCTATTTATGATTAAAATCCTGTTCAGTATAGTCATACATGACCTTTTTACTTGTCGTTGGCTAGTTCTCTGATGCACTGGTGTCTAGCTGATGGGTTGAAATTCATGACTGAGTTTTGATCTAAACCTTACCTAACACAGATCACCATAACCACCTTTTCACTCTCAAATTGGTGTGTAAAATATTAAGAAAAAGATTCTCAGATGCATTCTTGAGTTAAAAGTCAGTCCAAGATCTGAAAAGGGTGAAATCTAAGATTATTTCAATATATAATTACTGTGGCAAGATTACTATATGCACAAAGATGGAAAGATTCGGCATTACTTACCATGATGGAACGGTTGGTGAAATTGACAGAACTTGCTGAGATGGCCAAACTGACTTCTTTGATTAGAGAAAGGTCATTATTGACATTCATCAATGAGTGGAAACCCCTTATGGACTTTTTGCATAAAAACGGAAATGACTTTGTGACTTATGGTTTTGATTATTAGAAAGAATAGGTTATAGAAAGAAGGGAATCAAGTAATCTTAGAGAAAGAGGTTTGATTGGAATTGTATGTATAACTGCTGACAGGAAGATCAGAAGCCAGGTTCTCTTGTCTCACCCATGTATGGTTTGTACCAGTAGCCCACTTATCATCAGATTGTCCTGGTTCCCCAACATCTGGCACCAATCTTGTTAATCTGGGCGACATCTGAGCAAGCATGACTCTCTTAATTCATGTCACTGTCATATTCAAAGTAGGCAAGTGAAGCATTAGGGGGTATTTGCCCAAAGGCCCCTATTGGTAAGGTAGGTACTAGCTGGGATTCAAACCCCAGTCTCCCATGTCAAAGGGTAGTGCTCTAGCCACCCATGCTATCCAGCTGCTACTCCACACATATGGATCTGTGAATGCCTGGTACTATATAAAGTCAACAAGGCACTAAGGACCTTCCTCAAGAACTCAATGGGACTGTGGAAGACAACATTGGAAGCCACAAGTGACCATCAAATGCGTCATATACCAAGGTGATGCACTGCCCCCACTGCTGTTCTGCATAGGCTTGAACCTCCTCAGGCAGATAATCACAGGGACTGGATACAGATACAGGTTCAAGAGTGAAACTACCATTAGCCACCTCCTCTGCATGGGCGACATCAAGCTGTATGCTAAGAGTGAATGAGACATCAATTCACTGGTCCACCTGACACAGAACTACAGTGAAGACATTGGGATGTCATTCAGACTATAGAAGTATAGCTGGATGGTAGTAAAGAGAGGGGAGGTATTTAAGACTGATGGAGTGGAACTACCAGTGGGCCACATAGCAGACATATAGACCAGCTCCAAGTACCTTGGTATCCCATAGTCACATGAGAACCATGATGAGGAGGCAAGGAAGACAGAAAGATCCAAGTACCACCAAAGGAAAAGACAGGTCCTGAAGAAGTCTGAAGAGGTCAATGGGAAGGAGAAGATCCATGCTATCAACATGTATACCCTGCCAGTCATCAGATACCCTGCTGGTAAAATGAGCTGGCCAAAGGAGGACATAGAGGCTGCTGATGTGAAGACCCAGAAGCTCCTCACAATATACAGAGATTTCCACCCCAAGTCCAACACCCAGAGACTGTACACCAGCCAGAAATAGGGTGGGCAGGGTCTGGTGAGTGCCAAAGCCACTGTCCAGGATGAAACGCAGAGCTTCCAGGAGTACATCAGTAAGATGGCACCCAAATTTGAGCTGCTGAGAGAACACCTGAGGCAGCAGCAGACATGGAGGAAGTTCAAGCAGAGGAAGTGCCATGGCAAAACAAGCCCCTGCATGGGATGTACCATCAACAGATACCTGAGGTGGCTGACATTGGGAAATCCTATTAGAGGCTGGACAGGGCTGGACTAAAAGACTGTACTGAGGCACTCATCATAGCAGCATAAGAACAGGCACTAAGCACCAGATCCATAGAAGCAGGGTTCTATCACGTTACACAGGACCCAAGGTGCAGATTGTGCAGGGAGGTCTCAGAGAAAGTCCAACACATAGTGGCAGTGTGCAAGATGCAGGCAGGCACACTGAATGGCATAACCAAGTAGCTTGCATTGTATACAGGAACATCTGTGCAGTGTATGGACTAGACCCTCCCAAGTCCAGATGGAAGATTCCACAGAAGGTTGTGGAGAATAACAGGGCTGAGATCCTGTGGGACTTCCAGATCCAGATGGACAGGCAGGTACTGGCCAATCAACCAGACATCGTGGTAG